GTGTGTGTGTGTGTGTGTGTGTGTGTGTGTGTGTGTGTGTGTGTGTGTGTGAGTGTGTGTGTGCGTGGAGCTCCCAGATGAGAAGACAACAATTTTTGCATTGTTTTTAAGGATACTACATTTCTATCCCAAAAAGTTTGGACAGGTATTCTCAAGCTTTTTCATATATGCACAATTGAGAAATGAGTGAGTACATGATAAATAGTAATGAGTCTGTGAATTTAAAAATGACATGAAGATTTAAATGAATTCTCTCATTCATCAAATCATCTTTAGTATCTTCAGTCAGGGTTTTACGGCTCTTGCAACATAATTAGGGCATGAAAAGGCCGAAAGTCAAAGGAGTTACAAGAGAATAATAAACACACAAAAAAAAAGAAGGAGTGATAAGGACGATAGATATTTGATAGGAAAGAAGGAGCAAACCACACCAGAGCACCAGCCAGCCACCCATCAACCAAATGAAATGACTAAAGATCTCCCTAAACTCACGGCATATGACATGAAGTTGAGGTCCACAGAGTCCAACAGATATTTGGCCCAGTCAAACGTGTCCACCGGCTCTGGAAACAAATTGAGCTGAGTTATAGAACAAGGCCTTACTTCGGTTTTTGTTTTAGTAAGAGTTTTATGGCACTTGCAACACAATAAGATCATATAAGTGCCAAGCATTAGAGGTGTTACAAGAGAGTAACAAACACAAAAAAGGAGCAGAGATCAGGACAATAGGCGTTTGATAGGAAAGGAGTAAACCACAACAGGACACTCGCCAACCACCCACAAAGCCTTACTAGACACAAATAGGCCGTTCAAAGGGAGAGAACAAGGCCACATGGTATCGTAAAAAGGGAAAAACCCAGAGATGAAACACTTAAGTAAATTCCTCATTCATGCACATTGGCATAGATATTCATTTATGCCATTTCCCCATTTTTGAAGACATCCACCCCCCTTCCATTTATTCATATTGTTTATTCACAGAATATCTTAGACACCATATACCAATTCACAGTGTTCACCATATACAGAGTACAGAGGTGCATTAACAGGCTTTTCAGAGACACACAGGCAGTTGTGTTGTCACAATTTGTGACCGAAGTATAACTTATAGGTGTTGTTAGAATAACATCGTAGTCGTAACCCATCCTTCAATAGCTTCGGTCATTATTTTGCAGCTTTGAGAAAATTGAAAAATAGTACTGACCTTAGTTAACCATCTGACTTGAACAAAATTTAAAATGTTTCGATACTTGATTTTTCAGAGCACTAAATAAAAACCTGCTATATTGAGGATATGAAAAAAACAGCAGGCATTTTTATCACAACAATAGCTTGAAACTTTAAACAAAAAAAGACTTACGAAACTGTGTTATGATAGCGGCGATTTCTTTTCTCCCAGTCAGGAAACTTCACTACAGAGAAAAGCTTATTTCTGGCTGTACATACTACCAAAGATAGTACAAGACAAGATGGACCACTTCTCTCTTTGAGCCAATTAAAAAAGTGTCCTCAAAATTTGGTGGCGCCCTCTTCACAAAAGCGCACTCTTTGCGAACAGAGTTACCCTATTGTTGAA